GTACTAAGATTTTTAATAGTTGTTTTTTGTGATTAACTGAAGTTATCCCTTTAAAAAGAACTGCATAATATGCTAGGGTAATACACAGGCATGTCAGCAACCCCACAGAGCCTGGAGTGGTCATCACAAAGGGAGAAAATAATAGTACGAAAGGGCAAAGAATCATAGAATGGCCTGGGTTGTAAAAGGACCACAATGATCACCTAGTTTCAAGCCCCCTGCTATGTACAGGGTCACCAACCACCAGACCAGGCTGCCCAGAGCCACATCCAGCCTGGCCTTGAATGCCTCCAGGGATGGGGCATCCACAGCCTCCATGGGTAACCTGTTCCAGTGGAAGAAGAAGAGCTCTGGGGGATAGGAAAGCAAATATAGTGTGTGCTGGAACAGAAATGGGATTAGGAGGGAGAAACACAATGCATTGCAGTTTGCTTTTTCTATTACCCCAGGTGTGGTACTGCAGTGTACTTGGTGCTTAACTAGTAGCTTCAGATTTGCTTTAATTAAAAAAGTTCTACAACCAAACTTTTGCTTTAAATATATTCATTTATTCTGGTACAATAAATAATTCTAACAGTGAAACACAGTAGTGCTTCTTCACATTTTCCTTTCTCATGGAACTCCATAACACTAAAACCACTTTCATAAATGATATATATATGGCGTATAAGTTACACAGTTAACAGTAAGGGACCTCAAAAAGTAGACGTCACTACTGGAGCTGGTCATGAGTGGCGGGTGATGACATGAAGATTTATAAAGTTTGACTTTGAATTTGGCAATTTTTAGCACTTACATGAATTTTTCTTAGCGTAGCCCAGTTTTGAATTTTTTGTATATTTCTAGAGCAAGTGACAGAGTTTATTGTATTAAATAGTTTAAATAAGTAGTTGCTGAGCAAAAACAACTTGGAGAAAATTAAAAAGCAATTTACTTGGACAGAAGTCTTTGAAATACTTTATGTGTTAGCTATCAGATCTGCTTTTGCTTTATTTTTCTGGAAAATGATGGTATTCTTCAGATTGCCAAGTTTTACTAGTAAATGTACTGCCAAATCTTGGGAAAAATAAGTCAAGGACTCTTAAAATTACATAGTGTTGAGTGAAAAGCCAAAGAGAAGGTTTTTGTATACCAGAAATCCTTATTCTTTCAAATATAAAAATACATATCTGATGCTGTGGAGTGACCTGTATTTAATTTCCTTTCAGGTTGTTTAAAATGCTACAGACATAAAAGGAGGAGTAACAAAAGTGGCAGACGTTTCTCGCAGTGTACGGGCACACTTTATTTAAAATATTCATTGCTTTATTATTTTGGGTAGAAGTGATTTCACTGTACCATTTTCAGGGAAAATATTTCTAATACTGGCATATTCATCTTGGCTTTAAACAAAGTTGTGTGTTTTGTATTTTGCTTCTTGTCTTCCACAAGATGAGGAGTTGACTTAACAACTTTTTGGTTTTACACCATCTGGAGGTTTGTAATTGACATATGTAGTGATGTCATACATGCTTAGCACCGAACAGACAGTGTATAGTGAAAGGTTGCGTGCAGTTCAGTCTGAGGTAGTTTTATTTTGTGTCATGAGAAATGTAAAAGTTTTGGTTTGCATTTACTGGAGACAGAAGGAAGAATTTAGGGAAGGAAAGAATGACTGACATAACCAATGTTCTTGTAAATCTTAACATTGCATTCCTGTGTATAGAAAATAAATCTGTACACCTAAGACCACACACAGGATGAACTGTCTATTCACTGTTCCAGGCTGGCACTGGCTCAGCCTTCTGCCTCCTTGAAAACTGGCATAAAGTTCTGATTTTAGAATGGCTCGTTACTGTATGTGTTAGTTTGGGAGATGATAAACCTGTTCTGTCAAAATATCAGCCTAATATCTAAGCCTTCGTTGTGTAGGTGGTCTTTATGAGTTGAGTTCTGTTGTATCAGTTTCAAGATATCTGACATCTGTTTTTTTGAGGATGTAAGAAAGTATAGTTATAGTTAGGAGATTTTTTTTTCTTCCCAACATTAGTGTCAGGGCATAATCTAATTTGATTCCCTCAAAAAGTGTTTTCTGAGAAAGCAGGCTGGAGGTTGTACTTGCAAGGAGAAAAGGATGATGCAGATTAAAAGCCATGCTGTGAACTGAATAGTCTCCTTTTCTAATCCTACAGGTCTTAATTTCAGCTCTTGCATGGGCTTGGCTTTGATATGTATGATAGTTTTGCCCAGGGGAGGTGAAAAATATTACTGCACAGAGGGGAAAAGAAGGAACATCAAATAAGATACAGTCTTAAAAAAAAAAAAAAAAAGAAAAAAAAGAAAAAAGAAAAAAGCAGTAGGAAAATGTATGTTTTGCGAAAGATTAATTTGAATCACTGTGATCTGGATTGAAACCTGGGAAATGCTTTGTCAGCAGCCCAGGTCAGTAGCTTCATATGAGAGAAAGATTTCTGTTTCACCAGAAGGGTGGAAATCCTTTAGGAAGGAATTTTCTCCTAATTCTTTGGAACTCAAACTCCAGCTGGAACAGATCAATCAGTGTCTGACCTATGGTTCGTTTGGAAAGGGCTGTAGCAGATAACAGTGCATTTGCTGTGGCACAGACGTGACATCACGGGTTGTTATGGAAGTGTCAGAGTCCCTGACTAAGAGTATGTGGTGTAAGACCATGTTTTGTCTCTGTGGGCCAGAATGAGGAAGGTCTCTGTCTGGAGCAGAGCACCTTCTTTCCTCCCTCAGGGCTGAAGGTGCATATGTTTGCCAGGGAATAGAAGTAACAGCCTTGTTATAAGCTGGTGAAAGAAAATTTCCTTGGAAATTTGGGGCAAATACATTTGTGAAGAGTGAGAACCATTTGCAGAGCCTTTAGGACAGGGGAATGGCTTTTGAATTAGAAAGTGCTGCTCAGCCAAGTCTGGGTGTAAGCTACTGTTATCCCAGTCCCCAGGGAGCAGTATCAGTGCTTTGTTTACCCGTGGTTCTAATCACTTCCAACTCCCTTTAAAGTCAAGTACAAAGCCTCTACTTTAGTGGCAGTTGGCAAACGAGACTTGCAATGCCTGAATGAAGAAAACCCCTCCTGGAGCTCCTGCTGCAGGTTATGATGAGCTTCTCAGCTGCAGCTTAAAGGCACAGCAGAGATTTTTGTGATTTGACATAAGGGATTGCTTAACGACATGCACCAAATAAGTGATTAAGTATAAAAATGAATAAATGTGGTAATGAGTTTCAGATGAGGTCTTCCGCATTTATTAAAAGGGGTCTGAAAGTTAGCTGCTACTACTCTTTCTTTAAAGTTAAGAAGTCACATTTGAATCTAATATTGCCCACTGCTTACAAACTGCAAGACACTATTACTACAATACTGTAAAAAAAAATGTTAAAAATATACTAAATCCAGAAGAACATAAATCTTTCTTTTCCAGTGTATAGAGAAGCAATGAGCCATTTTAAGAGCAGGAAGAACATGCATTTTGAGATCCAATAGATCATCTAAATTAGTCCCAAGCCAAGTTTTAAAATGGCATTGCAAAGACTTCTGGTCACAATAACTTTAGAATTACAAAACTAAGAATATAAATAAAAATAAATCAGACTTGTGTTGATTATTTTGTACTTTAATAATGTTCTGATTAACTAGAAAAAAATGATGCTTGATGTATATGATCCTTACTGACTATTCCAACTGTACAGCCTGAAAATGCAAAACTAACATTTAAGTTCTTTCAGTTATTTCCATTTGCTATGAATAAACTTTGTGAATTTGTCGGTAATGTAAACTTTAAACCCTAATTCTTTATTTTCTGACATCTGTATGTTTGAAATTTGGATTAGTGAATCTAAAATTTCGCACTCGCCTGACTTCCTGGAGCTCCCTACTAGATGGAGAATTATTCTAGACTGCCACATCATATATTTTCAGTTCAAACCTTGTCTTCTCAATAGTGTGCCTAGCAGCCAAAACAAGCGTGTATGGATCCACTTAATATGAACACCTCCTGGTTTCAGAGCTGTAGAGGAAAACAGTATCAGAAAAATGGCCTCTTTTCAAGGAGACCTGTCTTAGCAGTAACAAATGATTACAGTGTTTTTATCTGCATTCTCTACTTTGCATGAAATGATAACGCTGTGCTAAAAGCTTGTAAACCTTGCAAATGTACTCCATTCCCATGTTGCCCCTCTGTGCTTTCTGTGCACCATAGTGGCTTTGTCTCTCTAGATGGAGCAGAAGTGCAAATGTAGAAGCAAGTCTGTAATAGTATTTTTAGTATCTACTCTCCTGGACTGGAAGCTTCAGTGTATTAACTAGCCTTCTGGAAAACTAAAATACTTCACTAAGAATAAGGTCTTGATTCTGATAATGCTGACTTGAGTTTGGGAGTGAGAGGCTGCATAAGGAATGCAAAGTGGAATCCAGAGCACTTAACACTATTGAAGGCCTTTTATTAAGTTACTTCTGTTTAGGAAAATCTTTGAAATACCCCTTGTTTTATCTGACAGGAAACTGTGCTTACTATAGAAAAGTACAGGAAGGCCCATTTGTTAAGAGACTTATGAAATGTCCATTGGAGAAAAGCAGAGAGCTGTATGATTTCCCTGTTTGTTGTGTTAAATAGTTCTGCTTCTAGATTACGGATCTATGCCCAATTTTGTATAGTGGCTGTAATATCAAGTTGCCCACTTCATGGCTTTAATGGGCAAGTACAGGGTACAGAGTGCTGTTTTCAATTAATTATTTAATAAGTCGAGATGATTTCTTTTGAATCGTTTGTTCAAGAATCTTAGAGTTTCAAATTTTCTGCTTTTTTTTCTATTCATGCTTTGTTGCTGAAACTCCTTTCTTCTAAAATTTTAGCGAGTCATATGTGTAGATTTTCTTTGGTCCAAGGTAAATCTACACTAACAAAAAAGAAATGCTTCCTAGGCGATACAAAAAGCAAATGAAAAATATAGTGCTCATCCTTACTAACACCCAAATATGTTTGATTTACTTATTGTAGGTTGATGCCTTGCGGTTACGATTGGAAGAAAAAGAAACATTTCTCAATAAAAAAACAAAACAACTTCAAGACCTCACAGAAGAGAAAGGAACCCTGGCTGGAGAGATTCGGGATATGAAAGACATGTTGGAAGTAAAAGAAAGGAAAATTAATGTCCTTCAAAAAAAGGTAAGATCACTGATGAAATGGTATGCTGTAAAACTCATGAGGCACCTATAATGGAAATACGCTTCCTGAGCCATTTTACTTCTAAATTATTACAAAAATTGCAAAGAGTAAGTTGGTAGTAGCTCTGTAAGGTGTTTTATTTTCCATGAGGTTGTTTCTATGGTATTATATTTTATTTATATTACAAATTTTTATGTGATGCAGTTTGGAAAAAGATTCTGGCAGTTAAATGAAGACCTAAAAATCCTGTCAAATCTTACTCCTTGCCATCGGGGTTTCTTTTATACCTACTGTATGAGAACTGCTGAATCATGCCTGAACCTCTGATTGGTGACCTGAGGCGAGCAATGAGTCAGCCACGGGAGCACAGGTGAAAGCAATTCACCTGTGCTGCTGGAAGGGGTGGAGCCTGGCTCCACCTCTACTAGACTCATTTAAGAGCTGACTACCAGTGGGAAAAGATCTCTTCTAGATATCCCTTCTCTGGAGTTTTGTAGTGAGCCCAGGATGTGGGTAAGCATTCTATCTATTCTCCTTTTGTTATTATAATCTGCTTAGCCAAACTCTCTTGTTTATTTCAAAATTATAACATCTCTATATTCATTGACTATACACCTAGTAACACTGAATACTGGTCTTTCCAAGTAATGCAAGCTGAATGAAATATGTGATACTTCTAAAAGATCAGTACATTTCCTTTTTTTCTGTAAATACACTTTGGTAGAGAGAGCAAAGGAAGTGGGGAAAGAACCCAAATTATGTCAATTATTTGCTTTTCCTATGCAGGATGGGCTACAGATATTCAGAATGCAAGATTACTTCAAACAGCCTTATTATTCTTACTGCTAATTTTACACAGATTTAGCTCAATTGCATGTTGGATTTAATTGTTAGAGTTTCCACTTTGTGGTGGAGATGTGGGGTTGAACTTTCTTGGGAATGTAGCTCTGGATTCTACGTACGGTTGTAGAGTGCTTACTTACCATATCCTTTTTCTTACACAAAATGGTTTATGTGAGAGAGTATGTATTGTATGTGTTTGCATTGCTTCAGTGTATAGAGACACACTTGAGAGCATAAATGAAGAAAGTGTTTGTGGGATCAAATACATTTTTCTTTCCTCCATTTACAGCCAATTAAAGAATGTCTAGTCCATATTGTCAGTTATTCTTTAGATAGTTATTGCCAGAGAGCAACCTAAACTTTTCTTTACTAGCAATGAGGCTGATAGACACATTTTTCTACAATTCTACAGTGATTTTCCTCTGGATTTCATATATAGTTCGTATTGCTTATCTGTGCTTCTCTTCTGTCTGCATTTGACATCGTATTTTGATGAAATACAGTGATAAATGAAATGGATGGGTAGGAGGGATGTGGATTCAGTGATCAAAATTTTCATTGTGCAGGGATTCTCAAATAGTCTAGTAGTGTACGTTATCATCTAAGAAAGAAGTTTGGAGCAGGCTGCACAGGGATGTGGTGGAGTCGCTGCTCCTGGTGATTTTAAAGAAAAAGGATAAATGTGGCATTTAGAGATGTGGTTTTGTGGGTCTGGTGGTTATGGGTTGATGGCTGGACCTTAGTGGTGTTTTCCAACATTAATGATTCTGAGATGTCGGATGTACCTCTTTTCTTTCCAGTTTTGACAACGTATTATTCCAATAGCAACCATATCACCGTATCTGAAAATATATTTGGTTTAAAATATATATATATATATTGATTGCTGTTATTTTATTCTTTACGTAAGTCTATTATGTTTCCATCTTCTACTTCCTGGATTACTTGTTCCTCTTCAATTTCTCCAGTTATTGCTCATTTTCTGATCTAGCCACTTCTTCCATTATTGCTTTTACCTCAAATGATGATGGCCAAACATCTGGTATTTGAATATTTAAAAATTAATCTGCCTTCGTAAAGCACATGTGCGTGCTGAAGTCAGTGAGGGTAAAACACTGTGCACCACCTCAGATTACACGCAAACTGAAACAGTTAGGCCCTCTAGTGGATTGTTCGTCCTTTACATTCCAGTAAGACGTTGCGCCGTTCATTAGTCTCCTAAAACCACTTTTGAAAATGAAAGGAATTTCTTGTGGTTTTTAAGTCCCCCCCAAAGCATTATATAATGTAGACAATATTATTTTTTTTTTTTCTGGGACAGATTTTCTCTATGTAATTTAGTTTTGACATGAGGACAGATGAATAACCTATTATTTTGTTGCCTTTGTTTGTTGATGCAGTATAGATAGCTACATCTTTCTTTGCTCTTCTTTGTTACATTCTCCTAAAACAGTATTTATTTTACAGGTTGTATTTGTGTAATTGAAGAAGGAATAATGTATATACAGTACTTAAAATTTCAGTTAGTAATAACCTGAAATGACTGGGAAGGAATATGTAGAAGTGTCTAATTCTATATTCTTTCTCTTGTATACATTACTTGTATCTACTATGTTGAAAAATAAAAAGGATTCCAAAGCAAAACCAAGAAAGCTCATTTTCAAGGATAGATTTTTTTTTTCTTTTAGATAGCTGTTTTACTTAGAGAATAAGATACCTTCTCATGAAGGCTCCCTACTAAAAAATATGAAAGAAACAAAAATATAGGGAACAAACCAGTCATGGTGAATCCTACAGGATGGCATAGGAACATATGTAAGGCATTTTTTTTTTGCCTAAAAGTTTACTGAGATGCATAATGAGCTAATGATGCATTGTCCTTCCATTTGTTGATTTTTGATGTATTTTTAAAGCAAATTTAAAAAACATCACACTATTTAGTATAATTTGTAGGCCTAAAGGAGGCCAAATTTTGGAACTGCAAGCATTCAGAGGATTTGGATCAAGGTAGATTGGTATGGAGTAATAATAAACTTATGTCAATGTCAGGGGTGCAATATTACTTAATATTTCTTTCTTTTAGAATCTTTGGCACCACTGTTTCATTTTAGTGCCAGTAAAGTTGGGTATGTTGTTTTAATAGCCCTGTTTAACCTGGCAAAGCTAGTCTTACACCTCATATCTGTCAGTTTAGCATGCTGAGGGGCAGACCTCAGAATTCTTTATATATTTCTTACCAGAATGTGCAAAGTTCTATGAATATGTCTGAGGTGTAGCTTGAGGGGCAGAAGTGCTGAACTGGATGACAATTGTTTTATATCCATTTTTTCCCAAATTTTCATACAGTGACTATAACTAGTTTTGTACTCTAGGAGTATGTAGATATTTGTATATGCACATGCATGTGGACAAACACACACACTGGTTTTTGAGTCTGTGTTGAGAACAGTAGCTGTTGAGACAAGAACAGAATGGAGAATGTAGAGCTGGATCATATTAGGACAACAGCTTGTGGAAATTCTTTTGTAGGAATTGTAAAAGAAAGCCATGTAAAGGAGGCTAATATATTCTACTTTGACTTGCAACACAACTTTTCATGTAAAATGTTAGTTTCCATCTTTAATAGTTTAAGCTTTGTGATTGATGAAGTGCTACATGACTGAGGGCCCTAACCTACCAGCTAATTAGCATTTGTAGGAAATGTCATAAAGTCTTAGCTCTAATGTAATAATTGGAATCTGTACTTGGAATGGCTGGACTGTGCACACTATGTGATATTGTCCAGTTTGTGTTAAGCTGTGTTATTATGTGTTGCTTTGTATGTATTCCTCTTAGCTGTCTTCTAAAGGATGGTAAATTTGCTTCATGTTCGATTAGGAATATAGTAGTAAAATCAAACTTGAATCTTGTGCTTAGGAATTTGCTTTGGTGTTATCACTTGGCATGGGAATTCTAGCAGTGAACACAATAGAAACTGAAACTTCCGCAGGCAGGATTGTTCAGGAGAGAGAAGAACTTCTTACATTTGCTCTCAGCGCATAAAAAGCTCATTGATCACTGAAGCAGCTTTTAATTTTTTTCTTAGTTTAATCAGTTAATCCCAGGTTATTATTGATATGTTCTAATGAAAATGGATCTCTGGTCATTCTGTACTACCATTTAGCCTTGAATCCTTAAAAGTTGCGTATGTTACAAATTGAAGATAGACGGATAAATAGAAAGTGACCTCAAACCCAAGCAGCATATCTTTGGATGCACCTGGCCTGTGCACCGAGACACTGAGAACACCACGAAGATCAGAAGCAGTTATCCTTTTCCCTTTTTTTAAAATACCTTTATTTCTTTTTTTGTGTTTGTTTTTGTAATCAGTACGAAACTTAGAAGTGTAAAAATTCCCTAATAAAATCTGACCTAATATAAGTTCACTCAGTAAAGCTGAACCTTAATGTTCATCCAAACTAAAATCATAGCTATAACAAGCTAAAGTAAGTCCTTGGACTTTGAAATCCATGATCTTTAAAAAGTTTCCAGTCTGTACCATCTTTCCAAATGAACTTACTATTCACTACTAAAGCTAGAAGCCTGGCAAGTTTCCCCCTTCATCCACCCCCGCCCCCCCCCAATAAACTGCTTGAAACTGCTGCTTTAGTTCAAATCTTCACTTCAAAAGGAGAACGACTGGATTGAACCCCTTTGGCTAGTGAGCTATTTGAAAGCAATCACTGTCTTTCCATGAGAAAATAACTGAATTCCTTGAAGTTTCATGAAATTGCTAAAATCTAAAAACTGTTTTACCTAATGTCAGTTCTGTAAACATGGTGAATTTGGAATATCAGAATCATTTTGTAATCATGGGCCCTCAAGGAAGTGAAGAAGTACTTCACCTAGGAGAGATACTGTGTTGTTTACATTCATTTGTGCAGTTCAGCACAGTAGTATAATTCCACTGCTACATACATTACTAATTAATACACAATATTTACTTATGAAGTGTACATTCACTCATACTTATAAATTGTAATTGCATAAAAAGGTGCTGTTTGTATTTTGTATGATAGATCTAAAACATGGTGAAATAGAGTAATGAGATCAATAAGTCATTTTTTGAGAAGTAGTAAATGCGTATGTGTAAATCACAGGTATTTAACATTTTAGAG